CTCAAAAAAATGAGAAGAGTCCCTCCATTTAAATAGGCATTTTCATGGCTCTTCATTTTGTAACTTATATGCCATGAAGGCACATTCAATAGCCATGACTCACCATCATTAGTAATATTTTTAATGGTGTGTTAATACCACCATTAACATGGGGGTTACACCCATAATGTTTAAAATTCTTCCTATTTAATTGGAGATTAATGGCCAGTTAACTCCGTAAAAGTGGAATAATTTTAAACATTACGTAACGGGTTAATTCTGAGAATCAATTTCTCATTCACCCTTCTACCATTTTTGGCGTATAATATATCAAAATATTTATCTCATTTAAGAGAACACACGTCCATTAATTAACGGTTAAAACCGTTAGTGGACCTATTGATAATTATACCCAAGTTGGTCCATTTAATGCCTATTAAAATGCCAAAAATTCCAACAGAAGCGATGTGGATTTTCCAATCATATGCCGGTAATTCGTCGATGTATGATACGTAAACCTCGTCTATTTGTCTTAGTTTTTATTAATGTATTTTTTATTAAATGTTCTTTTTTATTGAATTTAAATTTTTTTATTTAATGTAATTTTTAAATTATTTTCATTTAAATTTAATGAAAATGAAGCTTTAGTTAATTTAATTTTTAAATGATGTGTATTTAACTTAATTAAAATGATACTTTATTTAATCGCGATATACAAGACAAGGACTTAGGGGAATCACTAATGGAGAGGAAAAAAGAAAGGAATAAGATGATGTGGGTGGGGAAATGAGAGAAAATTGATTAAGGAGCAAAATCAAAATAGCACCCTTGGAACCTTAAAATATTCTAAATAGCTGTCAAGGAACTAACTCAATCAAAAGCTCAAGCTTTTGGTTGTAGTCCAAGAAGAGTTATTTATATTCTAGCACGCCTCCTCACGTGCAGGCGTAGTCTTTTTTGAGTCTTGCACGTGAAACTTTATTTTTCTAAAACTGGGTGACGCTAAGTTTCGAATCCGTGACCTCTTAGTCAAGAAGGTTCCGATACCATGTCATGGAACCAACTCAACTAAAAGCTCAAGCTTTTGGTTGTAGCTCAAAAAAATTATTTATATTCTAGCAATAGCAGTGCTATATGTTTCGTACATGTGATTCCGATTTTGTCTTTTAATTAAACAGCAAATATTCATTGCACACTGCCAAAAAATGAAATTGTTTTGGGCAGTGTGGTTGTTCACTTTTAAATGTGTAGTGGGCAGTGTGGTTTTTTATATGTGAGTATTTAATGTGGCAGTGTAAAATATGTTGTTATATCTTACGCCAATGTGTAAGTGTATTATTGTGTTCCTTAATTTCATGTTGGAGTGTAATGTCCATTGATTTATGTGGCAGTGTTTTCATGTATAAATTCTATACTGTCAAAAAGTGTATGATTATTTTCATGTATGAATTGCACACTACCCAAAAAATGTATAGCTCTTTTTATTTATGAATTCCACATTGTTTTCATGTATGAATTCCACACTGCCAAAAATGTATATGACTGTTTTCATGTATGAATTCCACACTATCCAAAAACGTATGTCTAATTTCATTAATAATCTATTACACCAAAAAACACTGGCCAAACATGCGCGTTAAATATGGAACTTAATTTAATAAGTACGAACTTGTTTAGGCGTTATAGATTCGTAAACTGCGTATGAGGAAAATTCCGCAGAGCTATGGAAATATTGTAGGATGATGTTCTCGTACGTATGAGACACATGAATGAGGAGGAGCCGCACGTATGAGGAGGAGTGACTACGTGAATAACCTAAGTTTAATCAAATAATTAAAAGTAATTAAAAATAGTAGAATATAATAAATGGTAAAGGGTATGTTTGAAAGATATTGACACTATAAATAGTTAAATTCGTATAAAAGATTAAGGTGTGCTATATGCGTAATATTGAGTTACTTAGAATGCTACGTAGGGTGATTTCTTAATTAGAATTAGCGAGATTACTGGAATAGAAGAGAGAGAAGAATAGAGGAAAATATTATTCTCATAGATGGATGATTAAAATATGGTAGAAAAATTGAAAGACAAAATGACGTGAAAGTATATGATGTGGGAGGAGAATAGAGAAGAATGATTAACGATGCTCTTAGTAAAACATGCACTTTCTTACTCCCCGTCCTGAATGAATCGGATCACTTTATTTTTATTTTATCTTAAAATGATTGTCTTATGTCTTTACTTTCATAAAGCAAAAGTTACTATTTTGTCTTTCAATAACTTTTGTTTATTTACTTGTTTTGTTTGACTATTTGATAAAATTAAATATTCTTGTCGCATCTTAATCTTGTAGAACTTTTGATTTAGTTTTAAACGATGTAGTTTTTACTTTTTATTTTTTTACCAATTTAAAAATAAAATAATTTTAAAAGAAATATATTTTACACATCATTCCAAATGGTGCTTATATTTTTAGACTAGTAAAAACAAGAGAAGAGACTCTCTATGGTTGCAAGTCTCACTCTTCTGATTGGTGAAGCGTCGCTTGTAGCTACCGTCCGAGAGGGAGAGGGGACCCGCCAGCCAAAGCCAACAACCACAAATAAGCCGCCTTAACATGCGCACATCCGGGTGCACTGGCGCATTTTAGCCTCCTCCCCCATGCCCCAAAAAGCCGCACTTAATAATTTCCCTCCCCCTTCCTCCCTTTACTCTACTTGTCCTTTCTGTACCAAACCAAATCCCCACTCTTCGAATTTTCAACGTTTTTTTTGTACAGTCGAATTTCAACGTTTAAAAAGAAAAAAAAGGATTCTTTTGTAGTTTATGGAATTGTGGGTTCAATTCTGATTTTGGAGAAGAAGCTTCAAATCTTTGGACGGAAATGGAAGACAAATTCAATTCAACTATTTAAATGCTTGCTCTATTTTGCTTCTCTCAAAGTTCTTTGATTTTTTTTTTTTTGAGTTTAATGTTTGAACTTTGAAGTCATAAGAGTGCCACTGCAAAAACTGGGTAGGGAAAGAAACTTTGAAAAAAAAGAGGGGAAAAATGCTTGAGCTTGGGAGACATTGCAGCAGTAGTAATGGTACTATAAACACTACTAACAATAGTATGGTGAGAGAACTTCAGGTCTGCACTCTCTTCCTCTTTTACTTATTGTTTATAACTTCTCCTTTCCCCTTCTCACCTTCTTTGAATGGACTTTTACCTGTTTCAAGTAAAAATTCCAGACACTGACATGTCTTGAACTGTGTTGTTTTCTTGTGCTCCATTTTTTCTTCCACTTATGATGTCAATTTTTATGTGAGTGTCAAGAAGAGAGTTTCTCGAGTTGGGTGTTCTTGGTTCATTTCCCACATGTTTCAATTGTGGCTCTTTGGGATTTTACTTGTGGGAAATTATGTGTTTTGTTATGTAGTAATTGCACTAGATATGAATGGAATAGAAGTTAGTTGTATTCTGAAATAGTGGTGTAATATCTATTAGAGCTTAGCTTATTGTGTTTTATCGATTTGAGGAATATGATTGTGATACTCTAATGAGCAGCAACTGTGGGCCGACATCGGCGAGAGCGATGCAGAGAAAGAACGAATGTTGGTGGAATTGGAAAGGGACTGTTTAAAAGTTTACCAAAGAAAGGCTGACGAGTCGGCAAACACGAAAGCCCACCTTCTCCAATCCATTGCATCCAAAGAAGCCGAGCTTGCAATGCTAATGGCTGCTCTTGGTGAACATAAAATTACCTCACCGGTATCGTTCTTCCCCCTCAAAGTTTGGGCTTTATTTGAAATCCTTTTTTACATTGTTGAGGTCTTAAGGGTATGTTTGGATCTTAAAAAATGCTATGAAAATGAAAAAATAACATTCTTAATGGAAGTTATTATATTGTTTTTGGTTCTACCTTGGGAATGTTTTTCTCTTATTTTCAGCTCTTTGGATTTTGGCTTTCATCTTGTTAGTTATTATCAAAGTTATGTTGTTTTTTATAACAAGCGCAGTTGAAGAAGAAGGTAATGCCGTTGAAGGAGCAACTCGCATCAATTACACCATTAGTTGAGGATCTAAAACTTGAAAAAGAAGAAAGGCTGAAGCAGTTTACAGACGTAACGACCCAAATTGAGAAGATAACTGCAGAGATTTCAGGGTATGGGGAAGTTATTAATGCAATGAGTTCCTTAAATCTGGAAGAAAATGGCTTGTCACTGAGAAAGCTCACAGAGTACCAAACTCGTCTCCGGGCCCTGCAAAATGAGAAGGTATGATTTATGTTTCTATTACTATTCATTTAAAGAAAATTTCCATATTTGGTAGTCTAGTTGTACATGATTTAGGCCTTGTTTTGCAACCAACTTTCAGGAACTAGCTGTTTGTGGCAGGTTTTTGGGTAGCTGTTCCAAAAAAACAAGTCTTTTCTAAACTTAACATGGAAAATAGCTGCTTAAAAAAGCTCTAAACAGCTTTAAAATGCTTGGAAAAAACAAGTTTTTTTTTGTAAACCAACTTTCCTGGGTCAAAAATCTCTTTACCAAACACTTCCAATCATTGTCCTTTAGCCAAATTTTGTTTTTTACTCAAAATCTCCTCACCAAACAGCCCTTTAATTCGTTCTTTTTTGGCATACTATTTTGAGGGTTTGATTTGTCTATTCAACCGAAGTTAAAACCTGCCTCCTATTCTGTCTACCAGGCCACTTTGTTAAGAAAATAGGTCACTAACATCGGGAAACATTGACTCAAATAAAATGAGTTTCTTCCTGAAATTCGTTACAGGGTATCTGATTTTTCATTGAACACATTTGACGTTAAGCTATTGTTTGATTATGTACATGCCATTGAAGACCTAGTTCCACTGGTAAAATAAAAGTGTAATGTTTTGACCTTTTATACCTCCTGCAGTCTGAGCGTGTCCGAAGAATTCTAGAGTATGTAAATGAGGTTCATTCCTTGTGTGCTGTTCTTGGGGTGGACTTTGGCAAAACTGTCAGTGATGTCCATCCAAGTTTGCGTGAAACCGCCAGACTTGGACAGTCTATGAATATCAGTGATAGCACATTGCAGGGCTTAGATCAGGCGATCCTCGAGTTAAGAACAGAAAGAAAACTTCGTTTCCAGAAGGTACTGTTCTTCACCCTACTCTGATGCATTTCCTTTTTCTATTTTCTTTTTCCGGATTGATAATCTTTATCATTGATGCAGCTCAAAGATGTTGTTGCATCACTATTTGAACTCTGGGACTTGATGGGTTCGTCGAAAGAAGAGAAGTATAACTTTTCAAGGGTCACTTTCATCATGGGCTTTCCTGAAGCAGAGATTTTGGAGCCTGGCGCCCTTTCGTTGGAGATCGTTCAACAGGTTTGCCAGAATGCCTTTCTTCCAACCGTATTTATGACCAAACCTGAGTATGACAACAAAGTTGTGGAACCGAAAATGATATTTTTTTACTCATTAAATAAACTACAAATGTTTTGGATTTGGTATAAGAGTGTTAAGGGGCTGATTTGCCTTGATGTGCACTAATAGGTATCATCAGAAGTTGAGAGGCTGACGAAATTAAAAGCAAGCAGAATGAAAGAATTGGTTATGAAGAGGAGGTCAGAACTGGAAGACATATGTTATAAAACCCATATGGACCCTGATCCAAGTACTGCTGGTGATAAGTCGTCTGCAATGATCGACTCTGGTAAGAGGCTGTAGCCATTCTATTATTCATAAGAATCCCGAAAAGCGGTCAATCAGCTCCTTTTTTACTTTTATGTGTGCAGGTCTGGTTGATCCTTGTGTGCTATTAACAAACATTGAAGCACAAATAAACATGGCGAAACATGAATCTCTTAGCAGAAGAGAGATTATGGATAGGATTGAGCGATGGCTTTCTGCTTGTGAGGAGGAAACCTGGCTTGAGGATTTCAACCTAGTAAGAAGCCCCACATATAAAATGCATTCCCCATTTACACTGAAATAGTAGGGTTTTATGGGTTTTTTTTCACCGAGATAATGCCCTCATACACCTTAGTACTGTATGATGATTTAAACGGGATGAACTAATTGTATCATAGTTATAACAATCACAATAATAAAATTATGATTTTAGGCATTGTTGCATTTACTACCCAAAATTTCATAAATTACAGAAGCAAAGGTGAATGTGTCATTTTTATTTAGTCCATTGCGACAATTGACAACTAAATTTACAAAATATGATGTGCTTTACTTGTGTAGAATTTCGCCAATGAACGTTTTAATAGCTATCTTTGATTGCAGAATAAAAATCATTATAGTGGTGGAAGAGGTGCTCACATAAACCTAAAACGAGCCGAACGTGCTCGGATTCTAGTAAGTAAGATTCCAGGTAATCTACCCTGGCAATATCTATTTTACTTGTTACTATTATTTTTTATCTGCCTTATCAAGTGGATCTTATATTCAGGAATGATTGAGAACCTGATCACCAGGACGCTAGCTTGGGAAAACAAGAATAATAAGTTGTTTTTGTATGATGGGGTGGGTTAAAAGCTGCTTGATAATCTCTTCGCATTTACTGCTGTCCAAACACGCTCTGTATTCATTGTATTCTCTGCAGGCACGGTTGGTGTCAATATTGGAGGAATACAAAGTGACCCGACAACTCAAAGAGGAGGAGAAGAGGCGCGCCCGGGTACTTTATTTATAGTTGTGCTAGGGTCACACCGGGTTTGACACCAAGTGTTTCAACATATACACAGACATTCATTATCTCTGAGGCACAGAGAGACATGCTCTATGCATGTATGCGAAACACTTGGTGTCAAACATGGTGAGTTTCTAGCTTTTTTTGTTTTTGTTTTATTTATCACATAAAAAGACTTGCGTTCTTATATAAAATGCTCTGGAAGTTTCATTATATCTATGATCATTTTCCTATTGTTATTTTTTTTATTATTATTTTATTAGATCTCCACACTGTTTTACAGGATCAAAGAAAAGTGCAGAATATGGTCCTTGCTGAAAAGGAAGCAATCTATGGCTCCAAACCGAGCCCAAGAAGAAGCACCAGCAGCTTTAAGAACATCAACGGATCGTTAACCCCCTCACCGCGCAGGAAATCTGTCGGTGCGCTAAATCCCGAAGTTATGTCACCGCAGCGTTCCTATTCTGGGCGGCATTATCATCAACACGATGGGTATTTCAACAATGGAATGAAGAGGCTTTCGGCTGCCCCTCTGAATTTGGTGGCTATTGCTAAAGAGGACACCATGTCCTTTTCTTCGGCTTTTGGCTCTGAACCGGAGTCTCCACCTCAAGTCTAAATATGGAGTCTAAAGAGTCTTGCAGGATGGTTCCCCAGTTAATTCTTTTCTACATACAGCTTTATAGCCCATATTTTCAGGAGGGGCTTAAATATGTGAATATATCATATATGGAGGGTGTACTCTATAGCAATATGCAAGCCATTTCTGCAATTGGTTTGCAAGCAATTATGATTTTTTTGATACATTGGAAAAATGAATGAATATAGACATACGTTACGTCTATATTCATTCATTTTTCAATATGAATGTCGTAATGATCGGGTAAAAATGAATGGAGAGGGTACTTCCTATGTATTGTCTTAGGTAAAGCTAAAGTATAAGATTGATAGGAGATTGCTGGTGGTTTGTGTATTGATAGGAGTTTGGCGTGCTGATTTGTGACTCTGCTAAATAAAATGGTGTTGCTGCTTCAAATGGATTTAGATGGTCCCATGGCTTTGTTAGAGTTGAATGGGCTTTTAGTTGTCTGGAAATGTTAGGTAACAATGGTTAGTTTGAAGTTGATGCTTTTGTAATTTCTTGACAAATAATTGGAGTAATCATTTCAGTGTTGCTCCTGCTGTCTTCCATGAAGGGACGACCAGGCACTCCTTTTTTGGGTAATAATAATAATACTAATAATAATAGTAGTAGCAGTAGTAATAATACTAATAATAATAATAGTAGTAGTAGTAGTACTATTAATAATAATAATAATAATAATAATAATAATAATAATAATAATAATAATAATAATAAGCCTTCAAAATAATACTTCCTCCGTCCCCCTAAGATGTTCTCATTTTGACTTTTGGTGGTTTTTAAGGAGAGTTGAAAAAAGGTGAAAGTTTATCATAATACCCTTAATGAAAAATGGGTGGAGTGTATTAAATGAGGTGGGTGAGGTGTAATAAATAAAGTAAGTGGGGGTAGTTGTGGTATTTTAATTGTTAAAAAATGAAATGAGAAGATCTATTGTGGACAAAGAAAAAGGGCTATTGAGAAGATCTATGAGGGACGGAGGGAGTAATAATAATAATAATAATAATAATGTTATGAGAGTAGTACAAGTTTTTTTTAAGTTATTGTTGGAAGAAACTAGGAGTTAGAAAAAATTTGAAGAAGTTGGACTAAATGAAAAGGAGTTGGAAAAAATTGAAAAAAATTTGGAAAAATTGAAAAAATATGGAGAATATTGAAAGTTAGGTTTTTCAACTCCAAAGGACAGACCCTTAGTGGATCTAGCAGATACTCCACTCTACACCAACTGTTCAATAACTCTTTCTAGATAGCTTGAAAAATAAATGAATGCAGATTTATTTTATATCTACATACATTCATTTTTCAATGTATCTAAAGTCAAAATGGATAGTTAATACGAAATGGAGGGAGTATATTTGAGGATAATGACTGTCTTTCCCACTCAATGTGCCCAAACTAAAAATTGTCATTCATCTAAAGTAAAATTAAATTTACAACAATTATTTGTCATTACAAAACAATGCTAACAAGGAAAGACTAATCACTTAGCGTTGCAACACTTTAATACCTAAAGCTGTGTCCCACAACTCATTTATCCTTTGATCGTTTATGCATAGCTCACATTCGAAGGATGCAAAACTTGATATCATGAATGTCAAGGGTGTAATGGAGTCACCCTCGTATTTGAAAATAATGTCTTTCAAGTTTTGCATCCTTTGAATTAGAGTCACCTGCCTACAACATAGGCCCTTGGTGTAGTTTTCTTTTGGGACATAGATCCTCCTAATCGTTCATCCATGACATTTTGCGCCGCTCAATATCCATCACTCTTGCCATGGCCCTCATACTACCAGAATCATCAAGACACTCTAGAACATGAACACTGATAGCCCGTATATACACATATCATTTGGTTGTTCTTTAGGGTTCCAACAGTAATAGATCTACAAATATTAGATAGGCCACTAATTGTCTTGCCCGTACTGGGTCATCGTGTTACGTGTTTGGCCTCCTTGACAAGGATAATGATTGCCTAAGGTCACGACTCCAGAATGATCTATTTTGCAAAGCCGATTCCCTTATTGACATGGTTAAACAGTGATCTTTCCTTATTCAAACACACCTCCATTTTGATCAAGTTTCCCACGGGCCAATGTTGGATTTCACTCCTGACATATTATGGGATTAAATGCCAACATAACTCTCAATAGATCTGTGGATACATTGTGTGGTTTTAAGTTAAAATACACTAGTGACATGCTCAATTAGTCTTTGCCCAACGACAACTTATCATTAATCTAAACAAGATTAGACTTACAATAACTAATTATTCTTACAAAACACTAATTTGAACATGGAAAATTACTCAGTTAGTGTAACCATGGTGGAGGAGCTCTTTTACGTATACATTTCCCTTTCAAGTATCGAAGCCACATGTTGCTCCCTCTATGGTGGCATTTCTTGATGGCTAAGGCAACTTACGAACAAAGTCTGACCGGTTCATGTTTTCTATTTCCAACCAGTCTTTCTTTTGTGACCTTACGTTCAGTGTGTTAAGGAGGTGTGCTAGGGGTAGTGTAGAACTCTGGAAAATAACTTCTCGAGCTTTCATTATGCATAATGTCAAGTATATATACAAGTAAATAGGCCTTAATCCCAAACGTAAACTATGGAAGCCTAAACATAAACTACGGGCCTAAATACAATTAATTACATAAAATAACAAATACTCCAATACTCCCCCTCAAGTTGGCGCATGAATATCATAAATTCCTAACTTGGCGAGTAGAAAACAAAACAAGGAAGTGGGCACCGCCTTAGTGAACATATCAATAATCTGAAGCTTGGTGGGGATATATGCAGTATCAACATGTCCCCTTTGATCACATTCACGAACAATGTGACAATCAATACCAATATTCTTTGACCTTTCATGAAAAACAGGATTTGTCAAGGAACCAACTTAACCACAAGCTTGAGCTTGTGGTTGTGGCCTAGGAATAGTTATTTATATTCTAACACGCCCCCTCACGTGCAGGCGTAGTCTTTTTTTTCAAGCCTTGCACGTGAAACCTTAATTTTTTTAAAACTGGATGGCACTTAGTTTCGAACCTGTGACCTCTTAGTCAACGAGGCTCCAATACCATGTCAAGGAACCAACTCAACCACAAGCTCAAGCTTGTGGTTGTGGCCCAAGAACAGTTATTTATATTCTAACAGGATTCACAGCAATGAAGAGAGCAGACTTACTATCACAATATAGTCTTGGCATTGCAACACATAGAACAAATAGAGCCGCTAGAAGACCACAAATCCACCATATCTCTGCAGATGCATTTTCCATAACATGATACTCTACCTTAGCAGATAAACGAGAAATATTGCTTTGCTTCTTACTACTCCACGAGATCGGTGAACCACCCAAGAGAATGAAATAACATGTGACAGATCGACGGGTTAACGGACAACTAGCCCAATCAGAGTCTAAATAAGCTATGAGAGACAAATTGCTATCACTTCCGAATAAAATTCCCTGGTCGGGTTGACCCTTCAGACAAAAAATCACACGCATGGCCGCATTGAGATGATCAAGAGGCGGAGCATGCATAAACTAAGACAGAACATGAATAACAAAACAAATCTCAGGACGAGTAATAGTAAGATACAACAAACGATCAACCGCCCTACCATACTTTGTAGGATCATGTATCTTAGCAATGTTACCAGAAGCAAGAGTATGCCCAGGATGAATGCGAGTAGCGGTTGGCTTGCATCCAGACAAACTAGCTTCCTGAATAATATCAAGAGCATACTTCCTTTGATTAAGAACCATGCCTTCTATAGACCTAGCACATTTAATCCCAAGAAAATAGGACATGAGACCAAGATCCTTCAAGTGAAAGTTTTTATTCAGATACTTTTTAAAGGAGGAGTTCATAGAGGGATTATTACCTACCACTAGAATGTCATCATGACTCATCAACATAAACCAACACAACCAAAATATCGGGCCTACGGAACCATATGAATAAGGTATGGTCAGCATGCGCTTGACGAAACCCATAATTCCTCAACACACAATGTAACTTAGCAATCCAATTACGAGGAGACTGACGTAAACCATACAATGACCTCATGTATAACTGGGATGGAGCTTCATGTACACCTCTTCTTTGAGATCCCCATGCAAAAAGGTATAATGAACGTCTAATTGATGAACCTCCCATGACCTAGCAACAACAACAGATAAAATGACTTGCGTAAATGACAAACCTTCTTAGGGTATGCTATAGTATAAGTGGGATGGAGCTTCATGTACACCTCTTCTTTGAGATCCCCATGCAAAAAGGTATAATGAACGTTTAATTGATGAACCTCCCATGACCTGGCAACAACAACAGATAAAAGAACATGCACCGTGGTTTATTTAGCCATGGGTGCAAAAGTATTAGTGCAGTCAGTCCCAAACTATTGATGATTCCCCAACACAACCAACTCTGATTTATCCCGTTCTTTAGTACCATCAGAACAAAATTTGCTGCGATACACCCATTGAAATCCTAGTGCACGATGCAACGGAGGAAGATCAGTGATGTCCGACAAATGATTACGCTCCAAAGCCAGTAATTCCTGAGCCATAGCCCCACGTCAGGAGGCAATTTGAACAACCTAACGAAAATTTTTAGACTGAGTATTTATTGTCACAGCTCCCAAAAAACCCTTGTGTTAGAATAAGTGCCCTTCACTAGAGGGGGTGGTGAATACTGAGACACGAGAATCTTGATAAATGTTTGCAGAATAAAAATCGTAGGGATAAAGTAAAGAACAGAATTAAAAAATTTAAGGAAAGAACACACACCGATGTACATTGGTTCACAACAACTTGTGGCTACGTCGAGTCTTCTAATAGACTCTCTCAAGCTACACCACTTCCGTTAAGCTTACAGGTGCTTAGCAAACCGTTACAAGACTCCAACCCGAAAGAATATACCCTTCCTTCGTATAACTAAGAGAACAAACCTCCCTTTAAGTGTATACTACTATACACGTAATCACTCAAGAACCAAAACACTTTTAAAGAGTAAAATATGAGTAAACTAATTTAGATCAAGAACACAATCAATTCCTCGAGAAATGCCTCTAAAAAGCTATGTAAAAAGTAATGGAATGATGTAATGTAAAGTTATGAAATGTGTGAGGAATGGTTGTAAAAAGGAGATCCAAGAGACCCCTTTTTATACCCAAAAACAAGGTGCAACGATTGGGAGAAGATTGGGATTGATTGGCTTGATTTGTAGAAATCAAATAAGAAATGGTCTATAGAAATTTGGCCTAACATAGTTGTTCATATAGTGAATATTGTTGTTTTTGCTTTGACATTCCTTTTGAAATGGCTAATGGTCATGTGAACATCGGTGTTTTTCTATGCCTTTGAATCTTTTTATTTTGTTCCATGTTCCCGACAGTTTGTCAATATCAAAGCCTAAACCAAAACAAACATTGTCATTAGCAAAACGTTATTGTCAAAACGTTTTCTAACAATTTCTCCCTTTTTGATAATGACAAACCAAGGCGGGGATATGCA